CAAAGTGAAGTGAGGTATCGTAAATTCCAAGCACCCAAACTTAATTGTCCCTTCTGGTTCCCCTATTATACTTCTTTATCACAAGACAGTTTCATCAATATGAAAGGTGATTCCTGTTCCTTTGAGTCAAGCGGTAATCCTCTCAAATTTCCATGATGCTACATCTCTACAATGCTGATACCATTGCATTGTAGAGATGAGGCTGTTTTCCATCCACACTGCTACGGCGATGCATTTTGTGGTACTTGGTGACACAGGTAGCCTAGTTGGTGGATGTTTATCTGTCGTCATATTGCTGTTGGGAGTTCGTGGTGGTCTGAAGTAGGTGCGAGATTTGCTGGCGAGTTGATTATATTGTGTCATTCATTATGGGCAGTAGATTTGTTTTCAAGTATTAGGGTGCTGTGATTCGGTTATTTCTGGTTGAGCTTGTTGGAAGATCGGTCTGCTTGAATACGAAAAAAACTTTGTTTCCAGTTTTATTTATGAATTAACGTAATAAATGTGAGTTATTCAGTTGAAATCTAATTGATTACGCGATAATACCACTGTTTTTGTAAATGTCGATACCAGGTTTATATTTAATTATTTGAAAACAAACTGAGCATTAGTTTAGTTGGTTTTTTCGAGATGGATGGTTTAGTCTGAACGAGACAGTCCACCTCAGAGACCGCAGATGGAGCAGTATCATCCACTTGAGTTGCAAACCTCCATCGTACCTAAGATGAACACTCGGTTATATGTACCATCACTTTCCGTTGGCTCCATTGGCTATCTACAACCATTCAAAATTCCTCTTCATATGATTTTCTTCATGTCACATATGAACTTACACCCAACAGTGCGATTCTCGTTCGGGTTCCACTCGTGTGTCTGTCTGGCGTGTGATGTCACATCAAGGACCCCTCACTGTATCTCCAATAAATGTTCATTTCCTCTTGCATTTTTATTGGACAATAGGTCCTTGGTTAGTTTGTTGTCAGAGTTACTTTTTGACCGGTAATTTGATCTTCAGTAGCGAAGCAACGAAGGCAGATGTTGATGTAAGTCTATATTCGTCTGTTGGTGACGCGCCTAGGTCACTAGCCCATCCTAAGCGCAGAAAAGGGGGATTATTGGGTATGGAGCAGTCAATTCCATGTCAGCAAAGAAAACCGTTGGTGAAAATTCTAACCATAGAAAGGTAATTCTGATCATTCCAAGCCGGTGGATGTTTCGCTTTGTCCAGATTCATCAGTAAAAAGCAGTACTCATTTCATTTACGAGTTGGATTATCTTTTAGATTTAAATAGTTCAAAATATTGGAGTAGAAATTTTTTAACTACGAAAGGCAATTGTTGGGGATTTTATTTCCTCTGTTTTTTATTCGCCGTATATGACAGAAACCTTCATATATTTTTTCGCGAATAGAAATTCATCTGTACTGTGACCATATAGCACTCTTTGTTTTCTATCCTAATCTGTCATTACACTTTGCTAACTGGTGTTAACAATCACGAAACATAGGGTCCAGGGCTTCCTGTAGGCTGCCCCCAACGATCTTTGTATATATGCTTTGAAAATTCTTTACTTTTTCTGTGCCCTCTTGTATTTTACTGTGTAGAATTGTGATTCTGTTGTTAAGGTAATAGATTTCAAGGTAGCAAGCAGTTCATCAGATTAAATCATGATTCAGTAGATGCAGCTGGTATGGGTTTGTGGCGCTTTGTACAACTATTGGTAACTGTAAAAAAAAAAGCGAACCAAACAAACGAAAGATCGAATTGAATTGAACGTAATGATCTTGATCGGCCAATTAGATGAGCTCATATCATAAGTAGCGGATACACAGGTTCATTACATGAATTACGCTGCGAATTCCACTAAGAGGTAGTATTCGAGTACTGTAGGCTTATAAGGAAGCTTGTTGATGTGAGGGAGTAATGTCTTTACAGAAGGATGCAGCCGCTCTGGATGGATAGGTGTACAGATATTCAGCCTGTCGTTACAGAAAATCTGTCCGAGAAGATATGCCGTTCCTTTTTTAAGATCATGGATATTGTAGAGTAGTGAATGGATCACGAAACAGCATGATATGCAGTTATCTGGATGAATTCATGTACAGAAATAGGTTCGCACTATCACTGAAGACTCCACTACAGAAGTAGGAGATTTTCTTGTGACATATACGTAAATCTGTTTTTTTTTAACATTGAATTTGATGTCTATGAAAGAGTTTTTGAAATTACGCGTATTTATTTGGGACTCATCTGATTGGTCGGTCAAGGTCGTTATATCCGTTTGATTCAGTCCCTCGTTTGGATCACCTATGTTTAGAGTTACTCAACATTATACACAGCTTCTGAGTCGATAGTAATCTCCAATAGTTGCGCATAATATTTTTACTATGAATAGATACGTTTTCTTGGATTTTCGTTGATTTATTGGCAAAGTTGAACAAAGCTAGAATAAAAAATGTATCTAAATACTATGAGCTCATCATTTATAATTTCGCGAATCCTTTTCAACTGCCTACAGCCTGAACTACAACAATATAAATTATTAAAAAAGAGGTCGGACATAGTTTTTTGGTGCTGACAAGGAGTATTAATATTATTATTGTTCCCTTGGGTTCCTCGTGGAACATTGGGCTTCAACTGCACGTCTCCACTTGCTTCTGTCTTCTGCAGTACTTTTAACCTGCATCCATGTCATTCCATACTGTTCCAACTCCTCTTCACATGATCTCCTCCATGTCACCCTTGCACTGACGTCCTACTCGCCGCTTCCCTTTCCCGTTCCACTCGAGCTATGGCCTGACGCGCGATGTCACCCAGCGGCCTTCTCAGCTAGTGTCCAATCCATCTCCACTTACTCCTGCATATTTCTTGAGCGATTGGTTCTTGTTTTGTTTGTTCCCATAGTTTCTTGTTGGTTCTTGTTCTTTCCGGCCATCTGATCTTCAGTATAGAACGAAGACAGCTAGATGTTGATAAAGTTCTGTAACAGGCTGTTGGAAATAAATATTCTTTGTCACCCGCCAAGTTTCTGATCCATCCGTATAGCAAAACTGACTGACTTGGCGTTTGTATTGAAAATCCGAATCACTTTGTTGTTGATGCAGGCTGAGTGAGTGACGAAGATTTCCAGATTGGTTTCAGGTTGATGAATGTGTTTCTCGCCTTCCCGATTCTCGCTCGATTTGACATCCTCGTCCGTTCCTCCTGTAGTTGAGACAATGCTCCCTAGATAAGTGAGCATTTATCGGAACTATGAGCGACATAACTTTGGAATGATATAAATGATTAAATGATCATGTTTTAACGGGGTTCACTGTTTATACGATAAGTTAACGAATATTCGTGAAGAAAGGACCGAGTTCAAAGGATTTTTGGTAGAGACAACGTTTAATTGAAAAGAATATATATGAATACAATAGGTTACGTAGCAACAACAAAATGTTTTTATAAAATAGCCAACAAGGATTCCGATCAGTGATTATGTTTGGGCGAAACAGTAAAGTTTTCTAAACAGATTAGAAGATACAGGAGAATATATGACGCAACAAAAATTGTAGAGCTTTGTTTCAAAAGTTTAATCCTCAAGATAGTACAAGATTTTAGGTTAACAATGGCTATTGCTTCAAGAAAACGTGGTTTTTTACCTGTTGGTCACCTTGAACTTCTTCAGACTATCCCCGGGTGACCGGTGTCCAATAGATAACGCATAACTGCACTGTTTAGTGTCTATGAGTCCTTTGGTCACATGTGCTTTGGTAGGTATTCCGAGGTGTGGTGTCAACAACCCTTCTCTATGTATTAACAAGTCCAAAGTAAAAAAGCTTGATTTTCCAAGATTTGCATTTAAGTATTAGTCATAAAAATATGATAAGCATCTTAAGATAATTTTATTTCACTTTGTATTTATTCACTAACTGATATCAGCTAGCGAATTCCTGAAAACCGAAGGCCTCTGGACTGCTGTCTCATCCTGACCAGAGTCATAGGTATACATTGCTAAAGAATCCCAAATGAAAATGAAACACCTATCAAGTACTCTTTGGTTTTTAAGAATTGTTAAACTGATGTTAGCTCATAGATGTCTAAATAGATTTGAAATTCTTGCAAACTCTAAAACTGAATATTTTGATGGAATTCAAGATGGGCATTCTACCCTATTTGGGACTCATCAACTGGGAAATGCCTGCATTCCTTGTAACTGAGTAAGTAAGTGAATATTGTCCTACTGAAACTCGAATTCACCATTCATCCACTAAGTCACTGGACCACACGGGGACCACCTTTTGTGCAACTGGTAAGGCACTGCGACCGACACTCAACGAAGAAATATCATTGTTGACCTTCAGACATCGCTGAAGCGTCCATTCTACGTGTCGAGCATTTCAGTCCATCAAAAATCTCCCAGTGGATAATGCAAAAACTTGTAGTCACCGGTAAGCGATATCTATCACTTATAAGGGACTGTTGATATTAGTCGGCCACTTAAACTTCTCCAAGTTGAATAGGACTCTAATGATAATAATAATAATAATAGTGACTTTATTCTGAAGAATGCAAAATTCTCATCATGTTCTTATTGCAAAGTGTTTTTTCCGTGTGTAGAGTATCCTAGTAAATTTTTATAATCGGTAATGCATTATTCGAAGTACTATTGTTTCTATCCAAAGCACACTCCAATAACCCTCAATGCTTTTCCTCCAAATCTAAAGAGCTTTAGCTTGAGACCTATTTGAAAATAGATGCGAGAGTACAGATTGCAATTCAGTGACATAATTGGATGATTTAAACGACGCGAAATAGAGTTTTAATCGATAGGAAAATCAGGCAGCTCAATGATTTAAGCAGAGGACACTAGGTATTTCCTATAAGTAAGTAAATTAACTACACTTTTATTATAATTGGGAGATTATCAAATTATGCGATTAACCTTTGTAGTAAACTTTTGTCAATAATTTTATTTGTATTACAAAGAATTTCTGTTGTTGTTGTTTCTTTTCATAGCTTATTTTTCGAATTCGACTTAAAAGACTTCGTTATTGATCAGTGTGCATTGGATATGAATCGATGCAGAGCGACAACACGGGTAAGCAGTTCATCAGTTTATATGGTCTATTTATTGGTTCATTCATTCTCGTTATTATATAAAGTAATCTGTTATTATGTGGTTCATTGTGTGTCGGTGGTATAGCGGTTAGGATGCTCGCCGACCATGCACATGGTCCGGGGTTCGACCCCCGGCCGGCGCGCTCCTTTACCTCGCTGAGCCAGAAATAATGCTGGTAAAGAGGAAAGGTTGGGCATGAGGCTAGCAACCCCATCCTGTAAAATAAACACTGCTACAGAAACTTCAAGCCACTAGCTTGAAGGTGCCCTATGTTCCACTGGGGAACGTGAAGGAAAAAAAATGTGATTCATTCCCTGCCTTCTGTGCGGATTATACGGCTTCAGGGACAAATATTCATTCCACTCGGTTCTGTGGCACACCACTTTCAGATGGCTCCGTGACTTCTTACAGCCTTTCATCTTCTCTTCACATAGTATCCTTTAAATCACTCATGGTGGGACTCATCAGGGTTCTACTCGACTGCCTGTCTGACGTGTAACGCCATTTGAATATCTTCTCAGGAGATATCCTATCTGTCTCGATTTCCCCCAGCATATTTGTTGGGCGATAGGTTCTTAGCTAGATCGCAACACTGTTAAAGTTTCTTGTTGCTGAATTATGCTTTCTGACCGACCATTTCATCTTCATTATTGAGCATTATTATTATTGTTCCCTTGGGTTCCTAGTGGAACATAAGGCTTCAGCTGCACGTCTCCACTTGCTTCTGTCTTCTGCTGTGCTTTTCACCTGCGTCCATATTAGTCCATACTGTCTCAACTCCTCTTCACACGATCTCCTCCATGTCACCCTTGCACTGACGTCCCACTCGCCACTTCCCTTTCAGGTTCCAATCGAGCACTGGCCTGACGCGCGATGTCACCCAGCGGCCTCCTCAGCGAGTGTCCAATCCATCTCCACTTTCTCCTGCATATTTGTTGGGTGATTAGTTCTTGTTTTGTTTCTTCCCATAGTTTCTTGTTGGTTCTTGTTCTTTCCGGCCATCTGATCTTCAGTATAGAGCCAGCGAAGACAGTTAGTTGTTGATAAAGGTGTGCAACAGGCTGTTGGAAATATTCTTTGTGACCCGCCGCTAGGTTTCTGATCCGTATAGAAGAACTGACTGACTTGACGTTTGTAATGAGAATCCGAATTTTGTTGTTGAGTGTGGCTGAGTGACGAAGATTTCCAGATTGTTTTCAGGTTGATGAATGTGTTTCTCGCCTTCACGATTCTCGATTTGACATCCTCGTCCGTTCCTCCTGTAGTTGAGACAATGCTCTCTAGATAAGTGAATGAAGTAACCTCTTTCAAATCCCTCCCGTTGATGGTGATTGTCGCTGGATGTTGCTGCTGTTGTTGTTGGTTTATCAAAGCTTTGATAGGATTATGAGGAATAGGTAGTATACACTATACTTCCGTGTATTATATCGAATAAATGGTTTAATTTGCTATGAAAATTCCCTTTGTGAATGTGAATTAACCTCTTATCAAAATTGTATAGAAAAAAGGATATTCACTGAAGAGATACTCTTTTCAGCGATGTCATTCTTAACTATGACTCCCTTAAGGTAGCCAAATGCCTCGTCATCTAATCAATGAAAGGCTTATCAGGAGGGACCCTACATGCGGTATGAGGACCGACATCCTTAGACCATCATGTGTTTTCCAATATTGGCCTCTTTTGTTAAGTCTACATTTGGCTACGCAGTTCCGTCCAGTGCCCTGAGTGTCGACGTGAAGAAACTCAACCGGGCATGGGAAATGGCGGGACGAGGGTTATGGTTATATGCGGCAGGCGCCTGCTCGGGGCGACCGCTGGGTGGGGCTTATCGGTAGGCGGACCGAGCTCTAGCTAAGACCTGTCGCTTGTATGAGACAATACTCACGTCTAGTTACTCAGTCTTGATGAAGCAGCGGTGCCGTCCTTTATGGTGGTGTGCGAGGCATCGGTGGGGCCAGTAGGTCTACGGCATTCTTGACGAGAGGACTGGGGCCAATAACAACTGGTTAGTGGCTGGCTGTTAGAGGTAGTAACCCAAACCGTGAGGCTCAGGTTGGTGTAGTTGTTAGCCGAGGCTATTCTCGAGCAGTGTCTTATGCTGTGGAGGTCGGGATCTTGTGCCATGAATCAAGGTTTGGTTGGTTCCAATGCTCAGAGGTCCCTGAGAAGATGTTACTGTTCATACCAGCTGGAGGAGTGGCACCAAGGGTGTCCTGAGATGTAAATATGAGAGATTGATGATGACCCGTCTTGGGGAGTTCATTCTGGGACTGTATCAGTCGCTGGGGCGGCTCGCGAAAAGCACACTCTTACTCCTTTCCCGGATGATCGAGGGCGTTCGGCAGTTGGCATGGTACGAAAAGGGTAAATACTCAGTAGATCAGGTCCACTGTAGATTTAATGATTGAACAAACTTCTTCTTTATGCAGAGTTCGGGGATTTAAACATGTGAATTGCCATTGCTTTTGTGGTTTGAAGAAATTTGATTCGTACTCCCTTTATCAAGATTCCCGCATATTCTCAATATGATTTTGAAGGTGGTTTGTGGGTCTACTTGATGTCTAGACTGGATCAGGTGTTTCAAGATAGAGCTACCAGGGTGGGGGGGAATCTTTTGTTTTCTCACTAAACCATGATGGTGAATGTTCGAGGACCAACATACTTACCTCCACAGAAGCAGGTAAACTGATAGATACCATACTGATGAGACTAGCAGTCATAAATTATTCATCACTTACATACGAATCATTGGCTTTGTGGAAGAAGTTAGTTATTTAGGCGTTTATATGTGCAGTGTTAATTACCAGCAAAGATTGAAGGTTGTTGTCAGTTGGTAGGAAATATAAATTAAAGTGTACAAGAAGTAGTAATGTATGAAACATAATGACTAATCTTACGTAATTTGGAAGGTGTGAAGTCAAGTGAAGAATTAGTTATTTTGAGATAGTTTTCAAAAAAAATTGATACAATTCGTATTCCAGTTGAGAAACTTCAACAAAACAAGAAGAATAAATGTAGCACGATAATATGACGTCACATTATTATTATTACTATTATTATTATTATCATCATCATTTCGCTAACTTCTTCTCAACTGGTTTTCACCTAAACACCACCAGGGTTTGAACATACTTTTATCACATTATTATTATTGTTTCCTTTAATTCCTAGAGGAACATAGGGCTTCAGCCGTGCATCTCCATTCCGTTCGGTTCTCTGCTAGAGTCTTCACTTGGCCCCATGTCTGCTCACACGTTTTCATCTCCTCTTCACTTCACATGACCTCCTCCAAGTCACCCTACCTTCGCACTGACGACCAACTCGCCGCTTCCCTTTCGGGTTCCACTCGAGCGATGGCTTGTCTAGTGATGTCACTTGATGGATTGTTTCCTCAGAGTATGGCCAGCCAATCCGTCTCCCTCCATTTCTTCCTGCCTATTTGTTTCACAATCGGTTCCTGCTGTGTTGGTTCGCTCATTGCCAGACATCCCTCCCTGTTGCTGATGTTTTCCGGCTAGCGATCTGATCTTGAGTGGTATTGAGCGAAGACAACTGTTAGTGAAGGTCTGTAGTTTGTTTGAGATGCTGTTTATGACGCGCCGGCCAAGTCTCTGATCCGTATAGTGAGTAGCAGTGACTGACTTCACACTGGAGTTGAAAATCCGGATGTTATTTTTGATGCTGAGTGCTGTTGACCTCCACACAGTCACATTGACAGTCAGTTATTGATAGCGATTACAAGTGTAACATAAATCCAGAATGATGTAAATACTAAAGGGATTTTCCTATTTATAGAGGAATACTTATGCCGGATATTTCCAAAAATAAAAACACGCGCAAGTAGTTGAAAATTCTGGGGGATAGAAACACACAAAGTTTACCTAAAACGTGTGTATACTAGCAGAAATAAATTGCTTAAAATACAGAGAAAACTTTTTTCCTCAAAACACGACGAAATAATGAAATTAAGCTTATGTTTTAACAGTAGAAGGCAAAAGTATATTTTCTATTGATCAAATCGCTAATTGTCTATTAATACAGTTTATATTCTTTAAGCAATCACTGGGCGTGTGATTTTAGTTTATGATAGGACCCAGCATCATAAAATAGTAAATCATTGTTTCTCATGATTCTTGTGATTTATCTTGTGATGGAGTTACTATGTGAAGAATGTTTCATTTCTCACACTTATTGTGGTTTAGTGTGTGTGATCAATTCATCGTCTTTTGTCTCAACTTGGTCTTTGGCGGATCGGTCGCCAACCGATGAAAATAGCCATTGCCAGCTAAAGAGAACAATCCATCCTCATGGTTGCGAGCCGACTTTATTATGATAAATTAAATATATAAATATGATGTTTTGTTTCCTAACAGATATCTGTCTGTCTGTTTTAGACATAGAACTTTGCACCGATGTGCGGCAGTTCAAGTCACCACACTCCATGTAGCACACAAAGCAAGAGAAGAAAGTAGGAGAAATGCATAATATAGACAGTAAACAGAGGTGTGAGACAAAGGAATAGTAATAACGAAGAACAAAACAGTTTCATTGGAAATCATAAGTCACAAGGAGTGGATGCATCTGCACCAGCCATTGAGAACGATTTTGAGCCATGTCACTAATTGTTTCCAACCATTGGTTTTCACCGTCCCGAGGACCCCAACCAGTCAGTCAGAAGGTCTACACCTTCCTACGTGGCTTAGACTAACTGTTGTGGATTTCATTGACTGGTGCCATGTTTTCGTTTGACCGCCGCTAGCTCTTTTCCAGCCTGGCCCTATATCATCTAACATTGCCCATTGTCGAGGAAGGCGATGATTAGGCATACGTAGCACGTGTCCTAACCATCTCAGTCGATGTAATTTCACAGTCTCGTCGACTGATTTCCCCGCCTTGCCTAGCACTCGACGCCTAACCTCAATATTGCTCACCTTATTATACCACTTCACACGGGAGATAGAACGCAAACACCTATGATCGAAGACAGCTAATCTTTTCATGTCTTGTGCTCTCAATGGCCAGGTCTCACAGCCATAAAGGAGGACGGAGCGTACTGTTGAGCAGTACACACGCCCTTTCGTTGGTAGCTAGCCGAATATCATGTCTACGCCAGAGACGGCGTAAACTAACCTATGCAAAACTAGCCCTCTGTATCCGTGCTGAGATTTCGTCAGAGATCAACCCGTTGGCACTGGCTGATGGTACTTCCCAAGTAAGTGAAGCGGTCAACGTGCTCTACCACTTCACTTCCTATTTCTAATCTAGGAGTGAGTGTAGTCCAATCCTGTAACATCATCTTGCATTTGGCGGGAGCGAATCGCTGCCAAACATTCGTAGATTGCAACTCAAGGTGTTCAGAAGACTCTGAATTTTGTCAGCGTCCTCACCTAGAAGGACTATATCGTCTGCATATTCTAAGTCGACGAGATTACTCCCTGGTAGCAAGTCAATCCCTGAGTCTCTGAAGTGAGTTAGGGTTAAGTCCATTAGTACATCTACGATGAAGTTGAATAGATGTACAACAGATGTACAGATGTACAATAAATAATAAAATATCTTACAGTCACAGGCCAGCCTTTGTCTTTTGACATTTGCCGTGGCTCAGTGAATCGGAAGGTGTACAACGGACAAATAGAGACGTATTAGCGTACCAGTCGAATTCATTACCGACAGGTGCACACATAACAGAGCAGCGTCGGGTCTGTTCAGTTCAGTTCAGTTATAACAAATTAGCAACGGAGTAGTTTATATTAAATGACTTGAAATAGAATGTTCAAATAGACATATAGTATTCTTTTGCTAGTCCCGTATTGAACTGTGGGAATATGTGAGAATACTATTTGACAGGAGGAACGGACGAGGATGTCAAATCGAGCGAGAATCGGGAAGGCGAGAAACACATTCATCAACCTGAAACCAATCTGGAAATCTTCGTCACTCAACTCAGCATCAACAACAAAGTGATTCGGATTTTCAATACAAACGTCAAGTCAGTCAGTTCTTCTATACGGATGGATCAGAAACTTGGCGGCGGGTCACAAAGAATATTTCCAACAGCCTGTTGCACACCTTTATCAATAACTAACTGTCTTCGCTGTATACTGAAGATCAGATGGCCGGAAGGAATCACCAACAAGAAACGATGAGAAGAAACAAAACAAGAAGCAATCGCTCAACAAATATGCAGGAGAAAGTGGAGATGGATTGGACACTCGCTGAGGAGGCCGCTGGGTGACATCGCGCGTCAGGCCAGTGCTCGAGTGGAACGGGAAAGGGAAGCGGTGAGTGGAACGTCCAAGGATGACATGGAGGAGATCGTGTGAAGAGGAGTTGAAACAGTATGGACTAACATGGATGCAGGTGAAAAGTACGGTAGAAGACAGAAGCAAGTGGAGACGTGCAGTTGAAGCCGTATGTTCCACTAGGAACCCAAGGGAACAATAATAATAATATTGCGTTGGAACACAATGTTATTATCCTGGGTTACATTTGTTGTTTTTGCCTTTCGTTCAACTTTATTTGATGGAGATGATCAATAAGAGACAGGAGCAATAAGCGGCATTGAAGTTGAAAAATCTTCGTTGAATTCACCATGCAAAAAAGCAAGGAAAAATATTTCTGAAGATATAGTTCAAGTTTTTCCTCAATAGTAGATTTCAAGAGCTTCAGCGGTAGCATGAGAAACATTGTAACGACATCGTCTTAATCGATTTGATGATCTTGCCTTACTCTTTTAAAAAAAACAATAATAATAATAACTTCATTCCAAAGAATAATCACAATTATACAGAATGGAATTTTCAGCGTTTTTATTAGGCATATTGCAACAATTTAGCTCCTTTTATAAATATGTACATACATAAAATTAAAAAAATAATAATAGTAATAAAACAACACAAAAAGCTGAATGTTAGTGGAAACATAATGAATTTATCAATAGATAATATCATAGATAATACATGTAATAATAATCTATCTTTATTTGTACTTTTCAGTTTACTTACCGATTTAAAAAGTTTATAAGTTCTTTCCTGACATCTGACTATCTCTTCACACACAAAACCCGTGCTAAATATGGTGGCATGGTAGAATGTTTATATTTAGTAACTGTACGAGCGTAAATTCTTATTTGGTTTTTTTTTCTGGTTTTACCCGAAGATATACAAGGAGAAAGTTGAGAATAAAGAGGATGCTCCGTATTAGACAACATAACAACAACAGAAAAAACATGTTTCGCCTTAAGATATTATGACGATTTAAATAATGAAAAGTTTTCACAAGCTAGGAGTTTTGTCAGTTGCTTATCGATTACATTGGATGACTGCAAGCCTATATTGCGAATCGACAGAATTTGTAACTTATGATGTATTCTGTTGCCACCCAGTAACTTAATGTTAACGTGGTCTTCTCGTACATAACCTGGCTGTGCGTTCGGTCGTTGGTGGATTAATGGGTAAGCACTTCTGCAGAGTTCCACATTCAAACTGCCTAGTGCTTATATTTCAGTGGTTCTCTTACTGATATCAATTCTTGTCATTAAATCAATTATTCATCCCTTGAGTTTAGAGTGGAACAGAGGGGTTCAGCAACAAATCTCCATTGAATTCTGTTGTTCGCTGTGGTCTATTTTCAATTTGGCTCCACAGCTCCTCAAAAGCCTTCATTCCCTCTCCACATAATCCCCCCCGTGTCAACCCCATGTCATTTCTTAGTTATAGCTATCTTGGAATCCCTAATTATCATTCCTAGAAGTCAAAGTATTAAGCATAACAATAGACATGTGCTACTTAACTTCATCTGTTGGATGCAAGTGAAAATTCTAGTCACTCGTTGTTGACTTGTGTATAACAAAACTACCCATTCGATCTGTTGTAATATGTATGTTTTTGAGAATGGATATTTAATATATATTGTAGTATGTGGGAATAGATTTATACTATTTTTAATAGTTGGGAGCGATCACCAAGATAGCTGAGACACCTAGGTTTCATGCTTATTGACACTCGTCAGGTTGGTGTGTGTTTGTAACGCTGAAACAACTAATTCTAAACCGCGTCCCCCAGGGTTGCAGTAAAAGACTCTAAAACTGAACTGTTTGAATTCACAATTGACCTCGTGTGGAACTCTAATAGATACACTGACTGGTTATCAGGGTGAGATAAATATCATGTATCTAGTTATCTAGTTCTGGAGTTTCTGAAGTAAGCCTCACCGCCAGTCTTCCCTATTTACTAGGCTTGCTACCGGCTAAGTGTGGTTTATTAGTGTGTCGACTACTGGTCGAACCCTGAATCACCTGTGTGTTCGGCAAGCATTCTGTTGTTGAACCACTGACGACATTTAGTATTGTTGGTATTGATTAAATTCTATCAGTCAACACTCCGCAGAGAACATTCGTATTATTATTATTGTTTCCTTTAATTCCTAGAGGAACATAGGGCTTCAGCCGTGCGTCTCCATTCCGTTCGGTTCTCTGCTAGAGTCTTCACCTGGCTCCAAGTCTTCCCACACGTTTTCATCTCCTCTTCATATCACCTCCTCCAAGTCACCCCACCTTCGCACTGACGACCAACTCGCCGCTTCCCTTTCAGGTTCCACTCGAGCAATGGCTTGTCTAGTGATGTCACTTGATGGATTGTTTCCTCAGAGTATGGCCAGCCAATCCGTCTCCCTCCATTTCTTCCTGCCTATTTGTTTCACAATCGGTTCCTGCTGTGTTGGTTCGCTCATTGCCAGACATCCCACCCTGTTGCTGATCTTTTCTAGTCGGGAATCTGATCTTTAGTATTGAGCGAAGACAACTGTTAATGAAGGTCTGTAGTTTGTGTGAGATGCTGTTTATGACGCGCAGTGCAAGTTTCTGATCCGTATAGCGAGTAACACAGACTGACTTCACATTGGAGTTGAAAATCCGGATGTTATTTCTGATGGTGAGTGCTGTTGACCTCTACACAGGCTTGAGAGTAGTGAAAGCTTGTCTTTCTTTTCCGATTCTTGCTTTGATAACCTCGTTAGTTCCGTTTGCCTGTAGTCGAAACGATACTTTCCAGGTATGTAAAAGAGGGTGTTTCTTTCAGGTTTCTTCCATTTATGCTGATTGTTGTCTGTTGTTGTTGTTGCTATTGGTGGTGTTGGCCATGAATCTTGATCACCTCTGTTTTCTCTATGTTCACCTGAAGGAAGTCCTATCTTCTCTGGATGCTTCTTGTGCCAATTTGTTGCTTTTCGCTTGCATATCTTCCAGTTTGTGGGAAATCAGACATATCTCATCGGAGAAGTTCAGATCCTCCAAGTTGTTTTTTTGTGTGAGTCCATTTTATGCCTGTTTCCTCATTGGCCGCCACTGTTTATCGCATTATGCAATCTACTGCAATCAGGAAAATCATTGGTGATAGTAGGCAGCCTGATTATTATTATTTGGCTATTTAATAAATAATCTAAATTAAAAATTCATTAAGAAAGCTTTCACATTTTTGCTGTCTCATTATTTTCTGATTACAGTGCGTTTACAAACGATATTACTCAACTCCCTTCAGTATGGATAATTATATTTGTGAGTGTGCTCCAGGATATTATATTGACAATATCGAGAATGTAAGTCATCTATTTCTGTGTATTTAAATTCTTGTTCTACTACTTAATAATCGATGAGGTATTTTTGTCTTATTGTGAATGAATGTGAGTTTCAATGTAAAACTTCAAAAGCAAAAGTGCAGCAGTTCGAGCTGCCATCTTCTAGTGATTTCTCTCTCCAAAGTTTTGTATTTTACTAGAAAAAATCATCACTGGTATTCTCATACAAAACAAACTCAGCACTGGAGATTCTAGACCAACTAGTCAATTCTTCCTTGGTTTGTTTTGACTTCCCTTTGCCATTACTTGTCTTCCGAATGGAATACAAGACCTCAAGCTTCATGAAGTTCTGCTAGTAGTGGTGTTATCCTCTTTACGAAACGAATTCACTGGCTTCACGTCCAACCATTCCCAGCCAGTAAGATTAGGCAGGCTAAAGGAGTGTATCACATGTGAATGGAACTCAGAGCATCCTCTGCAGCTAGCTAGCTGGCGGACATTCAACTATGGCACCACCTACCACCAAAGACACACCCATTACATTAGTTATACTTTCTGTCCGTCAACAGACCAATTCACTGACTTGTCAGTTGTGCTGATCCATAATGAAATGAAAATCCATCTGAATCATGTGGGGATTCAAAACCCACAGGCTCCAAATTTTACTAGGCCAGTGCTCTACCAGTTGGTTGACTTGCGACAGTCAACTTTTGAAAAGAGTCAAACAAACAAGTGTAGTTCAGCGATGAGAGGTAGAGACTCTTCTCGGTGAATGCATTTCCCTATTGTTTAGCTGTTACAATCACATATATTTTTATAATTTATTCACAAAAAAGGCTATCAGTGATTATGAACATTGAACGTCAGCTTATTGGCTTTGTTCGCCATTGGCGGGAAACTCGAAGGCGCAAATAATCCAATCGTGAACAAGTTAGAAGAAGACGAAAGAATACGAATAAAAGTACAATACATTCCTTGTAAAAACATTTCTTTATAGACTTAGTACAGAATATTGATGATTGTGTTTTGGAATTGAAATCGATATCTGTGCTTAGTGGTTGTCGATTCACAGCGTCTCAGGAAATTCTAGTATCTTAGGATTAAGTTCCTTGACAGAGGGGATAGTAACAAAGGTGGTGTTTCGTCATAATCCTAATTAGATTATGGGGGGTTTTGAAGGGACTGCTATTCATTTCAATGTAGATTTTGTCATATATATATGAGTTAATCCATGCATGAGGGGAGTTGAATAAGAGTATTAGAGTTACGTAATGAGGTGGATAATTTGGTTGAATGACTTGTAATCAAGATGTATATTAAATCGATGGGAAATGTAATATGACAACAGTTATAAAGAGTTGAGAAAAAGCAAACAAACAAAAGCTACTTTATCTCATGTAGGGTTGAATTCATCCATTTCATCTTCATAGGATGATACAGATCAACAAGAAGTCGAATAAGTAAAACCAATCACTGCGTCGGTGGCACAGCGGTTAGGACGCTTGCCGCCCTTGCATATGGTCCGGGGTTCGACGCCCAGCCGACGCACTCCTTTTCCTCGCTCAGCCAGTAATAGAACTGGCAAAGAGGGAAGGTTAGGCATGGGGCTAGCAACCCCATCCTGTAAAAATAAACACTCCTACCGAAACTTCAAGCCTCTAGCTTGAAGCCCTATGTTCCACTGGGAACGTGAAGGAAAAAAACCCACTGGTATACATTGAATATAACATTTATGTTTGCTATCACTTGCTATCTCACTTAGAAAATTATTCTTATTGAAACTAAGCAAATATACATAAAAATTACACTTGTATAAATGTCGTCTAAATTCAAGTTAAGAACTCCAACGTGTCTCACATTTGGCTAACATTTGGTGGTTCCTATTTCTTCAGGGAAATAATCAAAATTAAAATATCAAATATACATACGTATAAAAACGGACATCATCCTGCGTTTGAAATTCTTGTCTAATCATGTCTGACTCGTGAACAGAATAGTCATCAAAAACACAAAATGAACAAAATTGCATGATGTGTTCAAGATTTGACCGCTTAGCACTCTACAAAAATCCTTACTACATACATACTGGGTGACCTTGACTTTAATTTAAACATTGTCACTAAACTCTGATGTTAAATTATACACTGTTTAAAATGTATAACAAAATAGACTCATAATGATAAGAAATGGTTCCCGTGACCCAAGTGCTCTAGTGGATAACGCTTTGACATTTGAAATTATAGCCACCGGGTTCGAACCTCAGTAGGGACGCCATCACTCACTGAGGAATGCAGATACATCTAGGTGACGAGTCCCAAATAGGACGAAATCAGCATCCTGGTGGATTTCACTGCTAGTCATTATCCACCAATTGGCTTCAAATAATAATAATAATAGGTTTGTGCAGCTATCCGGTCAAATTTTGATCACAATTCATAGAAGTTTGTTCATGACTCAGATACGCTTGGAGAAGAATTTTAAAGACGAAATATATATATCTTTTTATTTACACATACATATTTTAATTTTGCTTATTTCCCTGAGGAAGTTGGAACCAGTTTGCTGGGTATAGGAAACTTTGGAATTATTTATTTTAAATTTTCAATATAGAAAAAATCCCCATTTAGACATTTAGAAAACAGAAAGATTGAGCGAAGAAATATTTACTTTTCAATTAGATCCTCATCTCTGGCTCTACTCTAATATACACGTATAGCATTTTTATCACAATGCACAACAGTTTACCAATCAAGTGGCGATATGTCTGTTAACAATAATTAGTCAGTGTCAAAGTGTCAATGGGTTGATAATTAACGAAGAAAATCAATACACATTTAAAAGGTAGAAATGGATAGAATAAATTAATTTTACAAGGATAACACGTAATTAAAGATGAAGTGATCAAAATATATAAAAATAAAATAATTTGGACAATTATAATTTTTATAGTTTTTAAAGCTTTAGGAGGAGGGGGCAACGTAGTCCTGTTTATGCCATCTTCCAGAGATGGCCATGGTAAGAAAAGTGGCTGGACAAATTTCATCTGAACACATAGACTTGGCTTCTTAAGGTGGATTCCGATTGCTTCAGCTGTCTGTAGAAGACGAACTCGTAGAGAAAAATCTAAGATTAGTCGGAATGCGATAAATAATTTTAAATGCAGTATTAACATCAACCTTATGCTCAGTATCAACAAGGTGTGCTAAAATAGAACTACGAATAGATCTTGTTTGTCCCTTGCGTAACCATGCTGGATGATGTTCGGAAATACGACGCAGCTGCAGTCAAACAGGTAAATACACATAGATTGCTGAGATTTATACAGAAATGTAATTTTGTTAACGTGTGTCTACTTTTCACTCGACATCCAGTTATTTTTTTTGTAACTATTAGGTCAAATCTTGATCGGAATACGTATGTAGAAGCTAAGCAGATATTTTTAAAACAGTAATTCATAATTGCACATTATTAAAAGGAGAAAACCTTACTAAGATTTGATTCCGTAAATCGATATAGACATTTTCAAGAGGAGTTAGTTTGTAAAGATGTGATTTGTTTCAAGTTTGATCGCAGATTGATATTAGCTAGGAAACTATTGAAAAACAAGGGGTACTGGATATCTATTTGAGCCTAGTTCTCAGCAGTACACACCTATGACTGCACTGTACCGCGGTGCGAATCCAAGACTTTCAAGGCTACAAGGCAAGCTCGCTAACCGTTCAGTCACTGGGAAGGTATCCAGTGAGTTTTAACTCTGTCAGTTCACGAACTGCAGAAGAGTCCCAGACGAGGACGAAACAGCTGTCTAGTAGTGTTCATTGGCTTTCAGTGGTTTTTCCCTAACTCACATCAATCGGTAATGAGAACTGAAACAATGTAGCTATGGTTTACCGGTAGAACTCTCGCCAACCACACATGTGGTCTGGGGTTCCACCCCTGTCTGACACACCCCTAAACCTCTCTAAGCCGGTGGTAAGGCCGGCAAAGACGGATAGTTGAGCTTGAGGCTAGCGACCCCACCCAGTAAAAATAAAACCCATGCTACTGAAACTTCAAAGCTATGGCCTTAAGCCCTATATGTTCCACTCGGAACGTAAATGATTACATCTAACTAGACTGTTATATAAATTGACATCATGAGTATTTCTACTTATAGGTTCATTAAACACACGATATAATGCAAGTTCATAGTCATCATCCCAAGTGAATACCGAATAAGGTTTTAGGAAATTAGTTCACTGGATATATGATACAATTTGTTCGTTCTGCATTTATGAGTACGGAGTAAACGTGGCTTATTGTCTGAAGTACTCAATTATCAGTCAAGGGGGGTGTTCTGGGGATTCAAATCTCATCCCACCCATATCAGCCGCGACTGTAACTGGATAGTATCATCACTAACCTGGGACATCAACATCATGTTCTAAGAACTGAGTTCGGATAACCACGTGTAAACAGACTAACCGAATAATTAACTTTATATCAGGAAAATGAACACCTGGAAAATTTTGCATCATCTCAGAGAATATCGGTCGGTCGGTTGGTTTTCGACATAGAACTTTGCACCGATGTGCAGCAGTTCAAGTCACCACACTCCCTCCTTGAAGCACACAAAGCAAGAGAAGAAAGTAGGAGACATGCATAATATAGACAGTAAACAGAGGTGTGAGACAAAGGTATAGTAATAACGAAGAACAAAACAGTTTAATTGGAAATCATGAGTCACAAGGAGTGAATGCAGCTGCTCCAGCCATTGAAAACGATTTTGAGCCATGTCACCAATTGTTTCCAACCATTGGTTTTTACTGTCCCGAGGACCCCAACCAGGAAGTCTACACCTTCCTACGTGGCTTAGACTAACTGTTGTAGATTTCATTGACTGGTGCCATGTTTTGGTTTGACCGCCGCTCTCTCTTTTCCAGCCTGACCTTATATCAGCTAACATTGCCCGTTAACTGATATAGAATATCATCATTAGAAACCAAAGAAGAGTAAATGGTAATAACAATTATCGATTCATA